CCCCCCCCCCACCTCATGTGTTAAATGAAGGGACTAGATTTGAGGTCTCTGAGCTGCCTTTTAGCTCTAACTCTGTGGTTCTTCCTTATCACGACTCCTGAGAAGGTTGTGTTTTTTAGTTCCTAATGGGTAGGAGCTAGGCACAGTGCTATGTTTTTTTTACATGCTTCATCTCATTTAATGCTCCTGGCTTCTCGCTAGGAGAGGGCATTGCTGTCCCCACTCTGTAGACACTCCTGTAAACAGGTCTAAGGGGCAGGGAGGTTCAGTAAGTTGCCCTGACCAAAGTCTTGTCACCAGCAGAGACAGGATTTGAATCTGAGCCTGTCTCACAGCCGTCTTTAAGCAGGGAGCCCCTGTGCCTCTTGAATCGGCCCCAGGAAACTATGGGGATTATGGAGGAGTTTCCTCAAGGCTGTCAGTGCGATGATTTTGCTCCCCCGATCTTTGCCAATGGCCCTCGTGCTGTGCCCGTGCTGGGCACCTCCCTCTGAGTCCTCCTCACCTTCACTCCAGTGCCGCAGCTGAGCCCCAGGCAGCCCTGCCTCTGTCCACAGCTGGAGGCCTGCCCAACTGGGCTGCTGACCCAGGGAGGCACAGCGGGGAGTGTGGGAGGCCAGCATGCTGGGGCCGGGGAGGAATCTGGTAGATGAGGACATGTTTGCTGTTAGGCATAAAGTTAGCGGGCCTGGGTCTTTCCGGACACCCAGCGTGCCTCCTGTGCGCGTACCCCAGCAGGCGACCATCTGTGTCCCTGGAGGCCCCGAACAGTTGTTCTCTATGGTGACACTGCTTTCACGGGGCAGGGGGGGTGGGGGTAGGCCATCTCCAGCTCCCCTGCGGGGTGGGGTGGTCAGAGGCTGAGAGTGGCTGGGGAGAGGAAAGCTGGCAAGCCCTGAAGCCTGACTTCCTCACAGTTGCTGAAGGGGAAAGAGAGGCCCCGGGCCCCTGTGTGTTCAAGGTCGGTCAGCCACGAGCTCCTTTCCTCTCCTCCGATCCTGACTCTCGCCCCCAGCGTCTGATGTAAAAGGCTGGGGCAGGAGGAGCCCTTGGCAATCGCCTCTCCTGCAGGAACAGAACAGAGAACGCAGCCTCCCCAGGGTCAGTCAGCAGATCAGTGGTGGGCTTAGAGGGGGAAAGTGAAGAGAGACGTCCCTCTGAGATTAAAAAGGACATTTCTTTGTTTGACCGAGGGCCAGCCTCCAGGTGGCTTATGCTGAAGAGCGTGCTGAGTGAGGGGGGCATAGACTTCAGTTGAGAGAAATCTGGATTCGTTTCAAGGGCGAAAGAAACTTCTCCCAGCTGGCATCAGAACGGCTTCCAGGAGGCCTCTGAGTGCTTTAGGAGTAAGCTTCCCAGGTGTTCGTGCTGCTTGGAAGCAGGGGAATGGCCACGATGTCCTCCCGAGAAGCCCTCTACCAAGGGCCACGGGTGGAACCTTAGAGGCCATGTCCTGACATTTGATACTTAATCTCCAAGCATGAAAGCCATCCATGTTTCCTGTTAAAATGTTGAGACATATAGGAGGGAGTAAAGATGATAAAGTCACCAGTAATTCTACCACCTACGCGTAACTAGTGTTAACATTTTGGTGTTCAGAGAATTTTTCCATGTGTGTCTATATATATCTGTACCTCTAAATATAGATAGATTATAAATATAACTTTTACACAGTTGAGAGCATGGATGGTTTTATGCCCCATCCCATTTTGTTTACTTAATGCATTATGAGCATTTCCCCATGTCAATAAAAATGATTCTGTAAGAATTTTATGAGGGTAAAAACCGGATTGTCTTTTCGTCCATCTTTTTAGGTTTCGGCTAAAACAGCCCCTCCTCCGGGTGGACTTTTCTGACCTCCTCTCCTCCTGGACCAGGCTAATTTCCTCTGTTAGGCACCTTGCACCTACTTCTTGCCCATCACTCGTGGTCCAGCTGGTTTTTCTGGGCTTGGTAAACACCAAAATGGCACGTGTCCCCGTGCCTGGCACAGAGGAGGCAGGCTGGAAGCACTTTCTGAATAAATGAGTTTCATATTTTATTTATTCATGCTTATATTTTGGGCCATTTGGATCCTAACTACAATGATACCCACAATTCACATTGTTGGTAGGGTCAGGGCCAAGCCTAGAACCCTAGGTGAGCACAGCTTCCAGCCGTCAGGATTTTTTAATTTTTAATTTTTAAAATATTTCCCACCTCCCTTTACTCCACCTCTCCCCACTCCTCCTGCCCAATTTCATGGAAACTGCAGATCCCCAGACGTGCATCGGTTTTCCTCTGCCCATTTGCCTTTCTGGGCTCAACAGGGCAGGACCGGCTGGGCTCCGGGCCTAGTCCTCGTTGCCTAGTCTCTATTCCCTGAGGCCTGGACATCCTGTTTCTTTGCCCCTTGGTGAGGACAGCTGTCCCCGAGTGGGAGAGGCTTGGAGTGTGGCACTTGCTAGTTGGCTCCACTTGGCAGGGTAGGCACAGAGCAGAGAGGAAGGAGGACAGATGGTTCCTTGGGCTGCGTGAATTACCCCGTCAGCCTCAGTCTCCTTAACTCAAGCCCAGAGGAGGCTGCCAACTGCTGCAGAACGAGAAAAGGCTGGTGGGTAGCCATGGGACGGGAGAGGAAGAGGAAGCAGGTGGGTGAGTGGACCTCGGTGTTCATGGCCCCTTGGAAATACTGGCGTGGGGGTGGGCAGGGAGGCGGAGACAAGGGCCTTCCCTGACCGCAAAGACAAGGAGATGAGGCACCTTTTCCTGCACTGCTCTTCACCCTGGGAGTTTTATCCCCAGCGGGATTAGGGGTATAATGTTAGGGACA